CAGGGACTATTTTAATGTCTTTCCATGGAACAGGTACAACGTTTTCGGAGAAAGAAGCATTTAGGATATTAGTTAGAGGAGAACATAAAGCATCTGCACATTGTTTTAGAACATATGCAGGTATGCCATCAGGGCCAAGACTATGTGAGGGCTTAAGAGTTTTAAGACATTTTAAAACATCAAGAGTGTTAAAGTCCTGGAAGTTATCAGCTACAAGATTAGTAACGTTAGAAGTGGTTATAGTAGAAGGAGAGCGTATAAAAGACAGATTAAGAGCATTAACATCACAAGAGGGAAAAACATTACATCGCTTACTATTGCCAGTAATTTCATTGAAAAATTTCCACATGCTGATAGGAGATTTGCATGATAAAAGTGTTTGGTTATAGATAGCATTAAGATTTTTGATTTCAGATTTGATTTGAGCATTAATCTTTTTAAGTCCTAACTTGTCTTTGCATTTATATAACATTTCTTTTTGCCTGCGAAGTTGTTTGAGATGGGGAGACGAGAAGCGGTCGAGGCGTTTGAACAGTGTTTGTTTGGGACAGCATATGTCGAGGCAGAACTTAAGATAATCCATTATATTGGTGATTGAGTCATCTAATGTACTTTCATAGAATAGATCCCAGTTAGTATTTTTTAACATGCATCTTAGATTGAGTAGGTTGTCAGATGTGTAGCATCTTTGTTGTGCTTTCGTAGACAGGTGTGAGAAGATTTTAATATGTGTTTTGCTGTATATTTTTGGCAAAACGCGGACAATGCAGTGATCGGAGTTTAGTATCGGTGAACGTCTACGTGTTTCATATACTCCTTCGTCATTAGTAAAAACTAGATCGAGTGTTTTGTCAAGTCGAGTGGGAAATTTGACTATGTTTGTGTGACCAAGAGCTTCAAGAAAGGAGCAATCTGAGGTGTTGAAGTCCCCAGTAATAACGGATAGAGAGTTGTCGAAGTTGGCAGCAGCAAACATGGTGAATTCATCAGCAAAATTAGATAGATCAGATGGAGAGCAACTAGGAGAAATGTACATGTTTGTAATATAGATTTGTTTATATTTGGGGAGATGTTTGGGGCGACATTTGACAGTAATACAGTCAATGAAGTCATTTGAGAAGGTGAAGCAGACGTTATTTGAGACAGACCATTTGGAGTGAATAAAAGTTGCAACGCCACCACCATTTTTCTTATTACAACATTGACGGTCTTGACGAAATAAAATAAAGTCCTTTAGTGAGATAAGATTGTCATCATACAGTTCATGCAACCACGTTTCTTGTAATGTGATTATGGCAGTATTATGATAAGTATCAGTGGACATCAAGGATTGTAGGTACATTATCTTGTTTGGCAGAGAGCGACAGTTTGTGTTCATTATGACGGGGACCGTAGTTAAGTGTATTGGTGTACGTTTGAGAGCTCTCTGCCAACCACTACGATGTTTCCTCCTTGGTTTCTTTGGAATATGAAAGTCATTTGGTCGTAGATGATTGATAAAGTTACGAGAGTAAATGATTCTTTTAGAATTCATATCTAGGTGATAAATAAATTTTGGTAAACAGCAGACTGGATGAAAAATATAGATATTATAGTAGCTGGCCCAAAAATTTGAACAGGCCGCTAAGGTCAATATATCCAGGTATTCATGAATTATAAGCGTATTCCATTCCAGTGTTTTCCCGTATTTATCAGTCACTTCAAAGTCAAGAAGAGAGTTCTATGAATACTATTCAATGTATGTAACAGTTAAAAGTTACCTAACATAATCAATGAAAACTCTGCAAACCAACACTTGAAAATTAATTTAGTGCTAATTAGTGACTGACTACCGGATGATGTTGCCTGGAGCTGCAATGGCAAGTCGCGACCAGCAGGGTCCACCAAGTTGGTGGCGAAAATAGATACTCGCCACGACAGAAATTAGAATTCACGAGTCACTGGTTTCCGCCCCAGTGAATGGATAGTCAACCAGCTCTCCTTGTCAACTGAAGATCCTGGATCCGATACCTGTCGGCGTCATTTGTATGTACTGCCGAAGTTTACGTAAAGATGACGAGGCAGGTTTCCAGTTCACTCTCGTTCTTGATGGTCCTCTGACTGAAGTCAGTTAGTGGTCAAAATTGAGCTGAACCTTTGAACAACCTTATCAGTAATCTCTCATTTTATTGCCGACATATGGATGATACCTTCATTCTTTGTGATAATGGTTCTAATAGGAGTTACAATAATTACCGAATTCAATGAAGTAGATTCTACTATGAAATTCACATGCAAAGAGGAATCCCAAGACAGAATTGCCTTCTTGGATGTCCTACATACAGGAAAGCCAGATGGTAGCATAAAAAGAAATTTGCATAGAAAAAGTACTTGGACTGGACAATATACACATTTTCACAACTTCGTTACTAACAAGTACAAAAGAAATTTAGTGAAGAACCTCAGCCACAGAGTTAGAGCTATATGCTCAGAAGAAGTAAGTGAAGATGAATTAAGCATTGTATATGATACTTTGATCGAAAATAGCTATCCCGAAAAATTTATCCAGAAACACATGACAAAGAAAGCGGAAAAGGACTACTCACTGTCTGTAAACAAGAAGCCACTGTATATACGACTACAATTCAAGGACGATATACCAAGCGAGAGAATTACGGGGAAATTAAGAAAATCAGTTTAGAGAAGTTTTAATGATGGCGAACTACACGTATTATTCCCTACATGACCGATTGTGCTACTTCGACTGAAAGATGAAGTACCTAGACTAGTTGGCCACTTCTAATTGTATCTATCAATTCAAATGCGCTTGTGGTGGAGCCAGTTATATTGGCTGTTGCTCCAGGAACTTGATTTTTCGTGCTCAAGAACATCTCCCACTATGGCTAAGTAAAGGTGTAGTTAAAACCATTAACAGTTCGATAATGGAACATCTGGTGCAAACGGGCCACAAAGCCAGCCAGCGTGGAACAGTCCTTCTCTATGATCTACCGAGTGCCTAATTAATTGCCAAAATCATCGAAGCACCCACCGCGTGCTCCAAACAGCACAGGCTATTGCAATTCACCTCAAACAACCAGTGCTCTGTGTTCAAAAGAAGCAAGTCCAGCTAGCCCCTACTACTGCCCTGGCCAGCCTTCAGTAGAGACTATAAATTCATGAATTTGCAATATTGTCTTTCCTAATTCTTCTGAAATTCAGCTTATTTTATGTTGATGATATTGAGCTGTAATCTATCAATATTATTGATTCGATGTTATTTAAACAGCATTAATGTTGTTCATAACGTTAATTCATTCATTCACTATAATTTATATGTAACTGTAAAGCCTGATGATGAAGTTATCGAAAAGAGTACTCTTTGTTCAGTAGCCATTCTTTTGATGGGCATTTTTAATCAGTCAAAATTGAACTGCTTATTTTGATTGGATACCAAGGCGATAACACCTATGAAAGTCAACTCTGATGTAACTGGGATATTTAAAAAAGCATGAAAATGAAAGGTATATTTTCTGTCTTTTCATAATCCTCATTTCAGAAATTATATAAATGGTTTTCGACTGACTTAATCGAAAGAAAAACTTCATATTTAGGAAAGATGACATTTCGCTAAGTCAACTCACTAGAATCCAAAGGCTTACAAATTCCATATCAACCAAACACTATTTAGTATAATCTGTGACTGTCTTCTTATCTGAATTTATAAACTTCAATAGTCTCTTATTTTATTAATAACTGCTTATATTTGTCTAGAAGATTTAGACTCTGATATACTGAGTCTTTCATTATTTACTTTGAAGAAGTTAACTATTCAAAACTTGTGTCTTTATTACATTGTTCAACTCACTTTGATAAGGCTTTCTAAATAACTATCTTTTTTTTTCTACTAATGGGTTTAATGAAGTCATAATATTTTTGTTTATTTATTTTTTGAATAAGGTTACTTCTGATAACAAAAATGGATTAGAAAATTGTTTAGAAACTTATTTATTTAGATTTCTCATTCCATTGTTATGGCATTCATTTCATATATATATATATATATATATATATATATATATATATATATATATATATATAAATTGTGAAGCATATTTTACTACATATCTACACTGTGTTATGTAAGCTACAGTTATACACTTGCTTCAACACCCACATATGATAATTTACATTCTAAGATTGATTGGCCTACTGAATAACTTTGTCTTGATTATTCATACAGTTCACTCATCACTTAACGGAAAACGTCAGATAAGGCAAAGAAAGAAAATAAGCGAAAGAAGGAAGTAGTAGAAGAAGAAGAGATATGTGCATTATAGTGACGATAAAGTATATACACTATGAGTTAGAGAACATGAGACAGGAAGACTCAACCAGAATTCTAATCCAGTTTAGCATAAGAATTAGACACAATGTTGTACTGTGTGTTGTAATTCTAATCAATTTCATAATATCCAATTATCATACAGGCCATATGTGTGTGTGTGCATGTGTGTTGGCCGACAAGTAAACGAATTCGATTATATACAATTTTCACTTGGTGAACTCGATCGTTATTGTTGTAGTCTGAAGAGCACATCTCATGTGCATACACACGCCAACACATACATAAACGCACACACATGCATACATTTGTAAGCAAATACACAACACACTGGTACACACACAGGTTGCACACATTTATGCACAGAAAGACATGAGCACGCATATTCTTCATAAATAAAAGACTACTGGATACACCTACCCAACCTACCTACATACCTACCTACTAAGCTAGAGGAAGTTGTATTCGCCTATTATATAAGTGTAAATAACGGGTTTACGTTGCATTCATTGTAAACAACAGTTCAAGCTGTTGTTATTGTTGTTTTTTCTTTCTTTCATTACTGGAAGGAGGTATTTATCAATCCTTGTATAATAATAAACAATCACATAAATATTTTCATCAGCCTCTAGCTTACTGTTGACCATACATACAATCCACAAGTTAAATTTCGTACAAAATGACTTGGTGCTTTGTGACTTCAAAATTTATACTTTTCTGTTTGAATTTTTTATTCGTGGTAAGTTCAGTTTTTCTGTTGTTGAGGTATTTAAACAATCATGATTTTAAATTTTAAAATAAATGTAAAAAATGTATATATATATATATATATATATGGTTGTATTTCTTATCAGTTAATTAATATTATGTAGTCTCATAAGTAGGAATACCAGGATATCTTTTTAAGAAGTTGAATTTGAATATTATGTTATATTATTATTCCCTTGGGTTCCGGGTGGAACATAGGGCTTCAAATACACATCTCCACCTTCTATTTTCTGTCGTCCTGTTCAGCTGGCTAGCCACACGATTGTCCAAACTCTCTTATCTCTTCTTCGTACGATCTATGCCGACTCACTCGTACCTTTCCATTTGGATTCCACTTAAGGGCCTGGCGTGAGATGTCATTCGGCGGCCCTCCTAAATGTATGCCCGATCCAACTCCACTTTTGCCTACATAGTTGTTGAGCGACCCGCTCTTGGTTGGTTTTTCCTCAGCCGGAGATTTTTTCTACCAATTTTTTTCTAGCTGGCCGTTTGATCTTCAGTATGGAGCGAAGGCAGCTGTTGTTAAAGGTCTGCAGTAGCCTGTTGGAAATCCTTTTCGTGACACGCAGTGCAAGGTTTTGACCCGTATAGAAGAATTGACTGACTGACTTTACATTTGTGTTGGAAATCCGAATCTTGTACTTTATGCTGGTTGAGTGCAGAAGATTTCCAAACTGGTTTCAGGTTGATGAAGGCGTATCTTGCGTGTCCGATTTTGGCTGCCTTTCACGTCTCCAACGGTTCCGCCTGTAGTTGAAACGATACCTCCTAGATAAGTGGAGATAACCTCTGTTAAATCTCTCCTAATAACAGTGATTGGTGTCGGTTCAATTTGAACATGTAATCCCTCAATAAATGTTTCTATTTTGATTTGGCATATATTTACATTTATTTATTACTTATTTCACGAAGTAATCTTTTTTACATACTTCACATCACAATATTCTATTTTTTTGTTTAGATACACGCTATATGTTTTACTTTCACAACTTATTAAACACTACGCAGTATACCATGTTAAAAGTTACAGTTAAAAGATCTGTACTGTGTAACTATTACACTTTTTTTAAAAATTATAATTTAACCTTCACGTTCCCAGTGGAACATAGGGCTCCAAGCTAGTGGCTTGAAGTTTCTGTAGCAGTGTTTAATTTTTACAGGATGGGGTTGCCAGCCTCATGCCTAACCTTTTCTCTTCACCAGCATTATTTCTGGCTCAGTGAGGTAAAGGAGTGCGTCATTGGCCGGGGATCGGACCTCGGACCATGTGCATGGTCGGCGAGCGTCCTAACCGCTATACCACCGACGCACACACTTTTTTTAATGACTGATTACTGTATCATGTAAACTCCAGTGTGAAATACGCATTTAAGGACAAACGCCAGTATCAGGTTTACTAAAGTTTACTCTTCAATACTTTTTTTTGAATTTTCACTATATTTTAACAGTTTTATGCATTTAAGCTTGGCTTTCTTGATTACTATTTATGTGCTGTCGAGCAGACCACTTTATTGTATTGTGATTCACATAAACTCAATTTCCAAAGTAGACTATGGTGAAATAATCACTATGAGCTGTGTAAACTGTGAATTAACTTGAAAACTATGAATTTCATTTGTGATATGATCAATTCTTCTAAGTAACTAGCTATAATACTGGTGGTGTGAACTGGTTCAGTTTTCTGAACTGAGTTAGACCGGACACACCACTGATGAGCTTAGCCTGAAACGGGCAAAACGGCCTTCCAGTAGTGCTTAGGTAGCTTTGATCTGTCCAGTTGGCAAGAGCTACCGGTTGATATGAGTGTTATACAACTACTAATCTCAGTCAATCAGTAGCATACAATTCCACGCATATAGGTCTGGTTTCTTCGATACTATTTATGGTAACATACAGATCATGTTCTATGATCCAAACAATCTAGCTTTCCTAAGTAAACTGTGATGAGATTTCATCACAAAAATTGTAAACTGTGAACTAATTTGCGCATTGAGATTTATAAGAAAAAGGCGTAAACAGCGGAGAAAATTTTCTTGTCGGCGATTCATTTTCATGAGATAATAACAAAAAAAGAAGCAGAATTAAAGTAAGGAATTTTATCTGGCCACGAAAAGGTGAATGAATGTATTTATCGCTTTTGAATGCAGAGGTCCAGTTTCCGATCTCGAATAGCCAATGATTTAACTATGTACAGATGGCGTATTCGAAGTTCCTTTGTATGCTATTGAGGCACTCTGTGTAGCATTGTGAAGCATTCGTGAGGAGGTGTTCGATGTCCGGAGATGGAAAGGTGTTCAAGGATACAGTAGCTGCTATTCTTTTTTTTCTCTTCTGGCTAACCAAGCTGGATAGTGTTCCAGAATACGTTCGTGGACTTGACGTTGCATACGGCTGATATACGTTGCTCCACACGAGCAAGTAAATTGAGATTGAGATTTGCATTTCGCAGTCAATCTTATGCAAGTATGAGTACAGTATGCATTTCCCTCAGCTGTTACTTATTTTTCTTTAGTCAAGTTATGCGAGACACCTATTCAAATTAAAGCTCATATATTCTTCAATATTTAATACATGTTTATTCCCATATATAAGTTCACTAGATACTCTCGAAGTATCCATCAGTCTTTATAAAACATGAAGAACCTACACTGTATGAATTAATGTGAAAGCTAGTTAATTTTCTGTTTGTATTTTTGCACTGACTTTCTAAGAAAACCAGAACATATAGACAACACATATAACCAATTCATCCTGGAGACTATTTCTTAGAATTAAGCGCCAGAGTGGATGTGCCTATTAGCATTAGATTCTATACGTTATTCAGTAACAGTGAGAACATTTGGTTACAGGATTTCATCATGATATGACATCAGGTAGAGAACCACTGGAAAACCTGGGAGTACAAATACCTGAATGAGAACATTTGTGTTTAATTTTATCAGATTCAGCTCAGTAAACTCAGTGTTGCCCTTTATTCTCAGCCTCCTGTTGTCCTAATTTAGGCAGGGATTAAAAAAATGAGGCTTTCTGAAGTATACTGACATTATAAGCTACAGGTTCTTAGGCGTATTTTGGTGTTCAACTTTTTTATAAATAAAATTAAGCGATGTTTATCTTAGGTTTTTATTCAGATATTATATAATGATGTTTTAGTTTCTTATTTTCTAAGTATCATTAATTGGTGTTTATTAGTCCCATTCACGCAAGACAGAACTATAGTTGACAAAAGACAAGTAGTTCAGAGAAGAGTCCTTTTTCGGCGAATTCATTTTTATAGTTGTACAATCGTAAATATATATGGTTATTTTGTGTGTGTGTGTGTGTGGGTATAAATTAAATTTGTCAAACGAAAATATAATTAGTAAGTTCAGATGAATTGGATATTAATAAGAGGGTAGTAACAAAAGTGATGAGTTGTCAAAAGCTAGTTGTCAAAAGAACTATAGTTAGTTATTTGGCTTTTGAACCAAGTTACGTTGCAAAAGGTAAAAGATTTTTTCTTATTCCTTTATGTTTCCAGTGGAACATAGGGCTTCAAGCTAGAGGCTTGAAGTTTCTGTAGCAGTGGTGCTTATTTTTACAGGATGGAGTTTCTAGCCTTCCCTCTTTACCAATCTTACTACTGGCTTAGTGAGGTAAAAGAGTGAGTCGGTGGCCGGGGATCGAACCCCGGACCACCTGCGTGGTTGGTGAGCACTCTACCACTGCGTCACCGACGCTCAAAAGGTAAAAGATAAAAGTAATTCAATCCTCAGTGTAAATAAAGAAGTTAGGATTCTGGAAACTCATTAAATATCATGGTAGTAGATCAATACATTGTCTCTTTACTCATTTCGCATCCAAAGACAAAATAACTATAATAATAATCTCAATCTAAGATAAACCAGAAATCAACATGTTAAACGACTGGGTCTTGTATTTCAGTGGGCCAATAAATACTAGTTTGGTTTCTAAAGCGATAGGTACTGGGTTTGAGTCTTCGAAAGAGTGCAGTCATTCCCGGGGTTTGGTCATTTTCAGATGAGTAGTTCTAAATGGGATAAAATACACGGGCTGACAGAAATGTCAAGCACCAATTTAAGGCAAATATTTATCGAAATAAAGCTGGAGGATGAAGTCCAGACATTCTAACCTGAAACCAAAAGTATGAATAAGCGTTTTTTGTTATTACTTAAATATTAATTGATGAATTATGTTGAAAGGTGGGCTTTCATCTCATTGAAGTTCGAACCAACAACCCCTAGGTTAGGGTTATTTGTTTTTAACTTTCTGTGGACTGATAAGACAATCAACCACTAATATTTTTAAAATCCTTTCAATGGTGACACATTGTTTATTCGTTATGAAAGCTAGCATGGGGATAAATCAGAGTTCTAGTACTAATAAATTATCAACTGTCATATGCAGACCACAATCACATGGTTTGGTTTTTCTAAATTATTGTTATCTCTAGTGTTATATGAACATGTAAGCTTCATTCAGAAATTAAAGTTACATCATTTTCGTCTAAATGCATTATTAGCTTAGTTTAAAATACAAACCAAGTATTCATGATTACTTCCAAAAAAAATTGATGTTTCTGTGTCGCGTTCTTAATAGTTAGAAGGAAAATTTTACACATCCTGGCTTATACTTTGTGTTTTATGGGCGAGTTGATAACATACCCTAACAATGACGTTTATTGTAGGGTTGCTATGTTCACGTAATGGTATAAGTAATAAATTATTTAAACATTTGACATTAAATTATGAATAGGAAAAAAGGCATATGTGGTGATTCCTTGGATGGCACCAGATTAATTGCTAGTCTGTGACAGGAAATGTTGCTTCATGAATACATACAGGCCTCAGGCTTCAAAGATAAACATAGAAAATTGCTATTTCATGATTTTGTGCTTCTGTATGCAGCCTGCTGCATCAGGAATACTTTGTATTGATTATTTCTTGTGATTACAGCTTGATGCCACACCATATTTTCAGTACAAGTATGGAATTTTCAGCATGTGACATCAGTGGCCCAAATTTTGTAGGCCGACCATAGAAATCGGGTGAGCATCGGCAGGAGATCGAACCTCGTAACCGTGTACATGGTTGACGAGAGTCCTAACCACTGTGCCACCGAAGCCATAGGTGGTACTCACCCAGACTAGAGTATTTTAGGGTATCCTATATCCTTGATCGTATCATAAAGACCATGGCGATTCACATGTACCACCTACACTGTCACTGAAGTTTATTTTAAAGAAATTACTTACGTTTAGACACTGGAAATGATTACGACATGATCAAATGATATACACTAGACATTAAAGGTACGTCGGTGGCACAGAGGTTAGGACGCTCGTTGACGATGCACATGGTCCAGGGTTCGATCACCGGCCACTGACGCACTCCTTTACCTCACTGAGCCAGAAATAATTCTGGTAAAGAGGAAAGGTTGGGTATGAGGCTAGCAACCATATCCTGTAAAAATAAACACTACTACAGGAACTTCAAGCCATTAGCTTGAAGTCCTATGTTCAACTGGGAACGTGGCGAAAAGAAAGACATTCCAGGCATCTTTTTATTATAAATTATTACTGTAGCTGACTAGCAATAGCTTCATTTTAGAAGCACGCCTAACTGCGTTTAACTCCTCATCTTTCTCCTCCTCCTACTCCTCACGGAAGCGGTTTACATTACTGCTGACAGAACAATACTTACTAGGAAGTAGTAGTATTTCATTAAGATATCTACATATTTTAAAGAAATATTTCTTAAATATTCTTAAAAATCAGATAAATGACATTCCATAAAGTTTTGATCGTTATGTCTGTAACCTTTTACTTTTTCAGTCATCATCATGATAGTCAGTCAATCTTTCATACCCGCATATGACTCACATTCCTTTTAAAGGCACTCACTAAAAAAATTTATATGAGTACACACATAGAAACACATACATATGTGTGTGTTTCACATCTGGTTTGTACTTAGATTTAGAGTAAATAAACACGATAAACACATCTTAATATGGTCAAGGTGATCTTGTGTTCAGTTGAAAAATGTAAAACAAGAAAACAAATTTGAAGGCACCGTGCTAACTGTATGAAAATATGTTAATTTGAGAAATCAAAATTGAATCAATGAAGCAACTCGAAAATAAACAAATAAACAAGAAGTGATTTCTGCAGATTTCATCTTTTTAAAATGTGGACAGTATTTAGTGAAATAGCTTTAACCTAACATTTTTTTCTTCACTTTCCCAGTGGAACATACGGCTTCAAGCTAGTGGCTTGAAGTTTCTGTAGAAGTGTTTATTTTTACAGGATGCGGTTACTAGCCTCAGACCCAACCTTTTCTCTTCACCAGCTTTTATTTCTGGCTGAGTGAGTTAAAAGAGTGCGTTGGTAGCCGGGAATCGAACTCCGGACCATGTGCATGGTCGGCGAGCGTCCTAACCACTATACCACCAATGCACAGCTTTAACCTGAAGCGAAGTATAATTGATGTCCAATAAAATCCTCATCATTTGAACACTGATTATGACAACGTACTTGGAGTCATGAAAGCAGTAAGTGCTTCAATGATGGAGTGCTTATTAGGAGGTGTAGATGTTATGTGAGTTCCACTCTGTAAATTGTTTCACGCTGAAACCCGGGGATAAAATGGTTCACCAAAGGTTGATTATTCCTTACCTAACAACAAAATGTGAAGAAAAAGGAATTGAACTGTGTTCTTCGTTAAGATAGACAGTAAAATTGTTTGATGCTTTAGGCTGACTGAATTATAACGACACTGAATATTTTCATAGCTTAGATTATTCGATTGAGGATGTTCTATTACCAATGTGACTAACTGTCACCGCCCCAGAACTAATCTGATCAAAAAGGAAGCATGCTTACATGTTTAAGACAGTGAAATATTTGTGTGAAAATCTAAGGAAAATGAAGTACCATCTAACCATTTCATGAAGTCTGTTGTTAAAGGTGACTTAGTGATTGGCATGACTAGTACTGAGTAATTTAATCTTACCTGGTAATGAAATATCCATCACTGAATATCTCACTTGTGGGTAAACAGAACACTAAGATCACTCTTATCTCATAAAATAATATTTTAAAAAATGCTCTTAGTTGAAAAAAGAAACATTAAAAACTGGAGATTATTTTTATTTATTTTTATTTTGATTATAGCTTGAAACCATACAGTATTTTTGGTAGGAGTATGGAATTTTCAGCATGTGATATCGGTAGCCCAAATTTCGAAGGCCAACCATAGATATCAGGTGTGCGTCGGCAGGGGATCGAACCCCTGACCATGTGCATGGTGGTCTACGAGAGTCCTACCCACTGTGCTACCGACGCACAGATTATCTGAAAAAAGGAAAATAACTGATAGCGATCTTAGTTTTATATATTCGGGTAAGGTTTACCACGGTAGATTATGTGTAAAAATAAATTGTTTTAACACATACACACACAGACAAGGAAGAGGGTATAATTCCACGAATGTCCATCACCTCGGCCTACTTTAGTATGCACTCTTGTCTGTTTCTGTATATGATCTGAAAAGCAGTTTTGTTATCAGTCTTATGATATACACTAGTAATATGCTTCCTTTTATAGATGAAACTAGTTTACTGAACGCGTTTGTCAATGTTTTAGGGTTGGCTGATTTTTCACACTGTTTGGTTATATGTTCACTAACCCTCACTTACAAAGCACGATTATTACTCCTCCCTATTTACTCAGATACAAAGGTCTTTAGGCTAAAGGATCGTACTGATCAGATTAGATAAAACAACTGTATCTACGAAACAAACTTACAATAAGTAAAGTCAACTAACTGCATAGGTCCATTTAAGTTACCTGAAAATAGAAATTGAACTAAGTGTACGATAAGTTATCCCTTAAATAAGACCATCTCTGAAAAAATTCAGCAATTGCAATGCATGCTTTTGTACTCAATCAAATAATAGGGTTTGAGATAGCTACGATTCTCAATAGAATTATATGTAAGTGATGAGAGAGGTTGGTCAAAGAAATCTTCATCTGACACATGTATCAGGAATAACTAACTCAACAACCATATCAGATATATGAGAAATTATTATTACCGATAAATTCAAAGGATAATGAATAGTGGAACTGTATCTAAAATATCTGAAATTTATGGGAGCTCCTTGAGATGTTTGTTATTGAGCAACAAATTATTCCCGGGATGTTATCAGACAGTAAATAACACCGCATGATTGTATTTTATGAAATAAAGTCAATCCTACTCCATTACTTGTGTCAGAACTGCAAAAACGGGTGTCAGTCTGAAGGAATATGTACTTACTAAACTGTAGGCCTATTTTAGATCCAGTCTGTACTGTCCCCACTCTAAATGCCGATCCCCAATAAATTTCTGTATACAAATCATCTTTAATGTATATCAAGTAAGTGCAGAAAGAGTCAAAGAAATGTCTTTATCTCTGTGAAATGCTTAGCCTGAAACCCTCACTTGTTTAGTCAATTGACGTTGAATATTAAGACATGAAGCCTGGTGTTTCATTTAACTTGACAATGTTTACCTACACAATACCAACCCATATCATTTCGAGAATCGACACTGACTATAAGGAACTGACATATCAATTCTTGTTCTTCGAGAAGAAGAAATACTGATAATGAGAAGTTTGAAAATATGTGAAAAGAAATAACAGGATTTTTAACTTCTTAAATAGAATAAATTTTGAGTGTCTTTGAATAGCATCTTGCATTAGTTTTATGCTTGAAATTATGGTAGAGAATTCCACTAGTAAACTTACGATACGAAGCTCCGTTCATAGTTCGACAGAAGTTGCTACCGTAGAGTGGTAATGCGCATGTCCTGAAGATTTTTCGAATCTTCTTTCAGCTTCCAGAAGGTCAGGATATCAATATAAGTGACAGATAGACACAAGGACCATATATTTTACTTGATCAACTTTTTATATATGTATAAGCTTCACACAAGATATCTTGAAATAATAACCTGAAAGATAAGTGCTCCTTAGCCCAAATGCTTCATTCTTAATAAGATAAATAAACTTTTATCGATATCTACGGTTGCTGTCTACATTGGTCATTATTTAGTAATAGTTTCGTATGAGTAACTGTTTAGTAGGGTCTCACAAGTGACTCCTTAGTAATCTAGTTGAATTCAGAAACAAATACTTCCGGTTAAGATTTCCTAGTGGACTTAATAAAACGTTAAACATTCGTCTCATTTTTAAATATTATTACCAACACAATTCAAAACCAGGTTATCCTGCAGAAAAGTTTGAATGTCAGTGTTCAGTTAATAAGTTCTAGTTAACGTATGAGAAGCCTGAACTAAGTGAGTCAGTCCAGACAATAGGAAATCTAAATTTGAACTATTTAACCTTTTAAGTATAAGTCACTTTTATATATTATCAAAGTATGAATTGAGTTACCAGCCTAATAACTATGCAGTTATCACTATTACTAAGCCTACTGCTGGCTGAGCACTGATCACGCCTGGCATACTATATACACATTGTTGAGCGTCTCATATTTCGCATAACCCTTGAATAAAGTTGAGAAATAACTAGTAATTTATAATTGACTCGATGTCAAGGATCCCACAGAGTATAGTCTATAGGGCTTCAGTTTAGAGACTTGGAGTTTCAGTAGCAGTGGGTTGCTGGCCTCATGCCCAACTTTCCTTCTTTACCAGTCTTACTACTGGCTTAGCGAGGTAAAGGGACGCGTCGGCCGGGGATCGAATCCCGAGTCACCGGCGTGGTTCGCGAGCATTCTAACGTTGTGCCACTGATGCACATATATATTTTATTATTTCGCGTTAATAACTTGTTAGTCTGTTAAGGTGATATAAGTGATGCATGTAGTAATTATTTAAGCAAATGAAAGATCAACAATCTTTATTTTATCATGTTTTTTTCTTTATCTTACTATTTAGCTCATTGGATTAGCATTGGTTGCAATTGGAGCATGGATTGCAGCAGATAATCAGGGTTTTCTTGATACAATACAATTCTTCTCATCAAAAGAATCAGTTGAACTTCAACTTTATCAAGGAACCTCAATAATACTGTACTTCAGTTATGGTGTCATTGTAATGGGAGGATTATTAGTAATTATCACTTTTATTGGTTGTTGGGCTGTAGTCAGTGAAAATCGTGGATTACTCATAGCTGTAAGTCTACAAACCATTGTGATTAATATGTTATATATTTAATTTTCAGTTGAAGATAAGCGTTATACATATATTTCTTATGTCGCCATAAATATATTTTAAAAAATGGGCGAAATGAGTATTCTTCTATGGAATTCCTTCAACTCTGATATTCAGATATGGCATTTTTGTGGTAAAAACAAACACATTAGTCATATGGATAGATATTCACTGAATTCCACATCCTTAATTATAACCGTTAGTTTTCGACTTTATTGATGTGATTTGTACTTTTAAGTTCCAAGCTTGTTGTTTTGGGTAATTTTCCTTTAAATAATGAGATAAGGATTTAAGGCACTTTGACTTCAAGTGTAATTAATGGAGAGCACTTGAAATCCTTAAAATCTTTTAGGCTTTTTGCAACACATTTGTTTAGATCCCACGAATCGAATGAAAGTGATTCAATGGTTTTGTTACTATCTAAACTGTCTTTTTATTGGCGTTGAAATCGCATCCCCTCTTAGTTTTGTTATTTATCTGCTATAATCCATCACAGTAGCGAATAATGATAATTTACTTTATTCCAAATCAGTACTTGTGATACAGATTGCAATTCTCAGCATTTCACTACAGTATTGCATCCAGTTATTACATTTACAATAAATAAAATTCTACATAGATTGAGGGTAATCTCGGTTAGTTATGACAACAACATATTGGCATGTCGGTAGCAAAGCCAAAAACTGAACAGTGTTTGAATGTGTTAGAAAAGTAGATGCCAGCATATTTGCTGGTGTAAGCGGTAACAAAAAGGTCGAGATATACAGAGTGTGAGAGAACAAAGAAGAATGTTTCAAGTAGAGTTTGTAAGGAAGAAAGAAACAAAGCATCACATAACAGAAAAAAAGAGAGAGGAAAGGAAAAGAAAGAGTTGGAAAGACGAGATCCAGTTGTTCTACTGACTATTTTATAGGTTATAGGTATCACGCCTAATGATTTCTTTATCGCACAGAACACGAGCTAAGTAGGGTATGGTTGAGTTTTTGTATTTACTAGTGCAGGCATATAGTTTCCTATATAGGCTTCTGGTTTTCCCTGATGAGATACAAGGGGAGAGTTGTGAATGTAGAGGGTGGTGTGAGCCAGATAAAATGGATTTATCCCATTTTTCACATGAGTCCAAGTGCTTGTCAACCAGAATATTAACAAGCTGGTTAAGTGGCACGTTGCTTACCCTGCTGACAACCTTTAACATCCTGCGTAATAAGGCATAGTCTTCCTTCAGTAGCCCAGGAAAAACTAAGGGGTAACAACAGGAGAATAATAGGCAGAATGCGAGAGTTAACGAATTGTAAGAGTAAGGGTTGGGTTATTCCAGAATGTCTTAACTTCTTGATGTAGAAGGTAAGACGGAATATTCTTTTAGAAATCATCAAGATATGAGACGACCAGGAAAGATCAGCAGATAGAATGACGCCTAGGTACTTAATTTCTGACTTGGTTTATATTTCACTGCCATCTGTGTTGCACACTTCGTGAGTGTTAAGCAGTTTGTTTAGGTCAGGTTTGTGCCTAAAGGTGAAATTGACTGTTTGGCATTTCGAGGGGTTTAAGGTGAGACCGTTTTTCTTGGACCATTGGCTGACTTCTGATAGAAAGCTGTTTAGTTTTGGTGGAGTGACTTTGACATTTGACAGGAAAAGATACAGTCAGGTTGTCAGCATATTTAACAAAATTAATGTCATTTGAAGATGGTTAGTAATGTGGGAAGAAAGAAAAGAGAAGTGGTGGGAGTACAGCACCGTGGGGGACAGCAGCTTCAGTGAGCACAGCAGAGGAGGATTGCCTTTTTATAGGGTATACTGCATTTTGTTTGACAAGTAGGAATGCAACCAGTTAGTGAACAAAGACTCAGTTTGTGTCATCGAGAGCTTATTTATCGAGAGACATCTAGGTACAAAGTCGAAAGCAGAAGTGAAGTCAAGAAACGTACAGCGGACATATTTGGCACCTTTATCTAATGATGAGACGATACTGTTGTGTAAGACGGCCTCAGCGGCTAAAGTACTCCTACCCTGTCTGTAGGCAAATTTTTTGGGGTCTTCAAAACTTTTAAAGGAGGGTTCAAGTTTAAGAAGTACTAGTTTTTCCATCAGCTATAGAAATGGGTAAGTAATAACAATGGGTCTGAATTTTACTTTCTTGCTACTTCCAGGTTTAGGGACAGGAACTATTTTAATGTCTTTCCATGGAACAGGTACAACGTTTTAGGAAAAAGAAGCTAAGGTCTATATCAGTAATATAAAGGTTTCAGAATCGATTTAAGCATGTTAGTTAGCCTTAGAACATACACTACATAAATGACTGTTAGCATCATGCACCTACAGGCATAAGTTACCGCTAGCGCATAAAAACCCTCTGTCCAGTTGGAAGTCAGCTATGTTACAGCTGCCACTATCAAAAAACAGTCTCTTCAATAAACCGACTATCCTAGTCGATTTGAAAAGACGCTGCTATCTGACACACACACACACACACACAGAAACACAGAAAAGCTTCTTTAAGTTCTGTATTTCATTTAAGTATTTTGAATTTATTTGAAAAAGCACGTCTTACATCAGGCGCCGCCATAACTCATCGTCCTACATATTACTGGGTGTTTTTTACTTTGAAGACTCCAAAAAGATTGAAAAAATATATACTACGCTTATTTAAACATGATTGTGTAGTACAGAAAAACCTTCGTTGATGAATAAAATTGTATCATTATTCAGTGAAACTATTCTTATCATCAATGAACACTTTCATAACTGAGAATGGCTGAAAAAAACATTCATCGAAGAATGGATACTGAACAAAAAGTACCCTTTTCGGTAACTTCATCATCAGGCTCTACAGTTATATATACATTATAGTGAATGAATCAATTAGTGTTATGAACAACATTAATGCTGTTTAAATAACATCGAATTAATAATATTGATAGATTACAGCTCAATATCATCAACATAAAATAAGCTGAATGTCGGAAAAATTAGGAAAGATAATACTACACATTCATGAGTTTATAGTTTCCACTGAAGGCCAGGGAAGTAGTAGGAGCTGAACTTGCTTCTTTTGAACACAGAGCACTGGTTGTTTGAGGTGAAATGCAATAGCCTGTGCTGTTTGGAGCACGCGGTGGGTGCTTCGATGATTTTGGCAATTAATTAGGCACCCGGTAGATCATAGAGAAGGACTGTTCCACGCTGGCTATGTGGCCGGTTCCCACCAGGTGTTCCAATATCGAACTGTTAATGGTTTTAACTACACCTTTACTAAAGCATAGTGGGAGAGTTCTCGAATACAAAATGAAATAGTTTTTCCCATTCCTTGGCATTTCGAGTGTAACATTAGACTTCAAGCTTTTATAGTTTTAGTAACAGTGATATCATTCTTACTAGGTAAAGGGGCTAGCCTCACGCGCAGTATATCCTCTTGTAAACTAGGTGAGACTTAGGAATCCATTGATCAGGAGCTAGACCAAAAAATTACTGATCAGTTTTTCTTCAGGCAGTGGAACCAGTTTACAATTTCGATACCTTTTCATGGATCAGCAGGATTTAGACTACTGAGATATTTGCCATTGTCAATTAACACTACAGTTGTCCAATTTAATTATGAAATACAGTGGAACGAAATGACACCAGCTATTTGTTTCATCATTTTTTCAAAATCCTATCGACTGACATGAGATTTAAGAATTCATGATTAAATGAGCTGATTACAGCATAAATTTATGATCTCATAATTGTCATTTAAGATATGTTCATTTTCAAAAAAAAATTGTTTCAACCCTCAACAATTCTCCTTGGAATCAATAATTTTTTCTTTTCCTCTAAACTTGTATAACGCGAAATAAATATGAATTCTAAAAAATCGACCTTTTCAATTTATTTTCAGTATACAGCTCTACTGAGTTTATTGGTTCTACTTGAAGGCGGAGCAGCTGCAGCTATGGGCGGTACAGTTGATATGGTAAATCTACTTATACTTATCATGTAACTATTATTATTGTTGTTAAAAAGCATTTACTGGGATATTTAATTCCTTTCTGGACACAGTTATTCTATTTTTCGAAAGTGTATCCTACAACACATATGAACTCTTTGCATGCTTTAGAAGCATCATGTGCGTTGTTAGATGAATCGGTTAGTTCTATGCATAAATCGATAACATTTCAATTGAGACCAATTTTTGTAATCGTTCTGTCTTCTGAAATCTATCTTCCGTCCTACAAAAGTTGATGCCTATCAAATGAAGGTTTACCTGGGACGTAACAGCTCTTCCCGTTTTCACTGAGAATGTTTAGAAAGTTTGGAAAAAGCAGTAATGTAAAACTCTTTGTATTGTCAGAGTACATCCATTTAATCGATTAAAATTTAAAGTGTAAAGTATACTTCCGAAGAATTTGAATACACTTAATGCTACTAATGGGGATTTACAACTCGTATCACATTTATCAAAATTGACACGAGTTATAAATCACTGGCTACAGGATTTCAACCGAGTCACTGTATAAGGAAATGCTGTAAAGCTTGGAACATCATAAAATCGTGTCTCCTCTCTGATTTACGGTAAAAGTGAGACTATTCGTGTCCAGTAAATTCAACTTTAAGTCAATTTCGATCAGACTGAAACGTTTAGCGTCTATTGACATTTAGGCTCCGAGTACAGACAGAATCATGTGAATTAACTGTTTTCGGGGTTATAAATATATTTTTTTTAAAATTTCACTTATCTTCTTCCATAATTATTTTTTGATTTAGTGGACAAAAGACTACGAGAATTCAACATCGAATCAATTTGTAAAAAATTATGTTGGTACATTTGGAGCTTTCAATGTATCAGAGTATGAGCCTTATTCACTTACTATGGATATACTAATGATAGAGGTGAGTGATAATTTAAATATTAAAAGTGGTAATTTCTAATTTCATGCAGCATACCTCACACAACATTAGGGGTTCCTTCAAAAGTGCATATGAGCCTAGCTAACGGGCACTGATTTGCACTCAATTTAGGCCCTGGCGATGGCCTTCAACCATCTAATATTAATTAAAATTTAATTTGGCCATATGAATTGTGGTTTTTGGGATTTTATCCCCTTCCGTTCCTTGTTGCTTTTATCATTTCTCCCTCTCACAAAACTGAGTAAGTGAAGAGGACATCGGTTGAATTAGACAATGTCGTCATTTGACAAAAGATGAGAAACCCAGAGTGTAAGAACCATTTTAGAGACTCCTAAACATCTTTAAAGAGCTTCTGTAGGCGAATAAAAGGAAATCCTTTCTTAAATCTGATTGAGTTCACCTAGCTGTGTGATTTAAATGAGAACTTTTCATTGCCCTCCCAGACAACATTTTCAGTACAACCTTCTATATGAATGATATAACTGTATCTCCCGACAATCTTTCGCGTGATTGGTTCTTAGTGAAGTATATTTAGCTTGATGTCATCAAAAAATGTTCTTCTGTTTATCGCTCAACAGACAGACATGTGGTCAATGAAATATTTAGGTGTCTAAATTGAGTAGTCTCTTGAACTCTATTTATTTTAAATGAGACAGGAATGATTTCACCGTGCCCACATATATGCCCATACCTTTAGACTAATATTTCATTGAGAACGAAGATAATAAAGGTATTCGCTTTAGACAAACTCAAATTACAAGACTTCATTTTAAATGAGGTTTGTCAAGGGTATTTGTAATTCTTTTATCTTTTTTTTATTTGTTTAGCTTAACTGTTGTGGATTAAATGGCGCTTCAGACTTTACAAATACTCAGTCACGATGGTATGCTAGTGGTCGAAGATATTTGAACGTGGCTTACGGTGATGCCGTTAAAATTCCACCAGCTTGTTGTAAATACACTTCAAAAGCATTCTTAAAAAAATGTAATGAATCTGAGTTTTTTCGAATGAATTTTAATTTTTTAAATTCCCTCTATATGTTTATTTAATTACATGATGTCACCATTATAATGTTGAAATATGCTCAGATCTTAAATGAATGGAATGAATATTAAGGGAACTTGTATGTAATATGTAAAAAAGTACAATCACAATTACTTACCAAATGAATTGTGACAGCTACTCAATTACTCATCGAAGACGTTGCTTAGTGGTCGCGCTATATCGTGAATTGACAGAATTTAGAATTCATGGACTGGCCATTGGATCGGGTCACAGTGACTTAATGGTCTACGAGCCCGTTAGCCTTGTAACCAGAAGGTCCTTGGTTCGAACTTAAGCGGTGTGTGCATACTGTTGAAGAGTCCCAAACGATGACGAAACGGTTGTCCAGTACTCCTAGGTTTTCCAATTGTTCTCTTATTGATGTCAGCTGATGATGAAATCCTCCAAGCAATCAAACAAAATCCCTAAAAAATACCAATACTTGAGAAAGCAAAACAATTTTTTTTGACCATAAAATTCAAAAATCTCCAATCGTTGTTTATTATCTTCTTCATTGTCTCAGCTATGTAGTCTTCAGTTTCTTAAGTGGCTCAGAAAGGCTTAAGTATTTTCAAACAAGGAGGTGAATATTTATGTATGGATGTGGGTGGTGTTGAATACACTTCGCTTTGAATATGATATGGTTTCAGAGGAAGTGAAACATAAGAAAATAGCTACTCTTTCATGCTTCTGTATCGATCGACTGATACTAGGTTTGAGAACTAATCAGCAGAAGATTATTTACATGTATATATACTCATAAAAATTAATATCATTCATTGAATTAACAATTTAAATATTAACAACCTGAAATCAGGCTTCTAACTACACTCATAGTGTAAAGGCTTTCTTCTGTTCAGCGGATGTGCCATAATCATTATTGAGTTAGAACTGAATTCCAATAATCTGATTATTCTTGACTCATTTAAAAAGTTAATATACTTATAAGTTTCATTGACTTACTATCTTCTATCACACACACCATATTTAAGATTCATTTGATGAGATTATTGAAAAGGTAACATTCTAATTTTTGTCAAGCATAGAGAAATCATTGTTCAGATTATTCTCAGCATGAAGTTTTTTAAATAACTATGGTAAAGCTCTACGGATTGATTGTTCATTGTGTAAACTGTTTAAAGTCATACATAGTTGATGCGAATAGTTCTCATAGATGTGAGCGTCGTTTTCAATTATTCTATTGGTTTAAAACAATTTATCATATCTAGGTTCCATATAAAAGAGTACCTCCGAAAGACGATGAAATGAGATCTGATATGAAAATCCCATTGACGCTTTATTTATTTGTTTAGAGCCCGACTATGAGGCAATAATTTTAAGGAACTCCGTCCAAGTAGGACACACTTCTAGGTCATGCTATCATGTTTTCAGAACACTTATTTGAACAAATTGAACTTTTTTTTAAGGTTATCACTAGTGTGTTTAATAGGAAATAAGTTTAATCAAGTACTGATGTTCAAAAAACCAGTCAAAGCTAACTGAGACGTGTTGCCATCTTTCGTTTGGAGTTTGTTTAACACTGCCTTATTTTCTTTTATAGTGAGAACAAGTAATATTCATCTAGATTTTGAGGTGGTTGTGTTCTCTGCGGTGGATGGTTAATTTGCGAAGGTTTCATCGCCCTACTAGGCGACATCTTCAGCACATACTTCAATTCAATGAAGTGTAATTTTAGATTTCTCCACGAGTTTATTAATCATCCCTTCTGGTCGGTGACCTTGGATGTGATTGGTTGCTTTTGTGTGTGTGTTCACACCTTTAGGTTACTTTTATTGCAACTGATTATTTCTTTGACTTGAACTTTGACCCTTTGTGTGTGAGGTTTCTTTTTTATCGGTTGATAAATTTTGTCTGTTTCGATGTGTCTATTGATTGATGATACACTGGAATACCAGGCAGGCTTCTAAAAATTCTCTAGCCAGCATTCTTGTTGTTTCCTCAGTCTAATATTTGAACGTTGGTTGTCCCAATCGAACTGATTTCCATGGTTGTCTGTATATAGTGATATAAGCGAGGGAGTGAATATCATGTCTTTTGACGGTTAGCCTATGATCGTGGATACGAAGACGTAGGGGACGTCGTCCACTTTGGCCAATGTAGTGTTTTTCGCAGTTGTTACAATTTATTGTGTAGATGATGTTGGTTTTATCTTCTTTCACTGTCAACCAAAAGATTCAGCAGTGCTGAAGATGTCACCTAGTAGGGCGATGAAAGCTTCGCAGATTAACTATCCAGCTTGGTGAACACAACCACCTCAAAATCATTCACCTGAGCTACAGATCTTCTCTATCATATCTAATGTATATCTAGTTATGTACCTTTATATTTTTTTTTATCGTTCATTACACACTGTCTTGTATCAAAAGTATCCCCTAAACCAGAAATCTCCCTGACCACTGTTTCATATTGGAATCTCTTTAAAAGGAACAACTATTACAAGTTAAATAGACAAACGATATATAGGTATAATCCCTTGTGGTCATATGGTTATTAGACATAAGACTTTTGGGAAGGAGGAATAATGAAAACAAAGCCAAAAATAGATATGGCCATATAAAACTTTACTGAAGATCAGATCGTGAAAAAAGAACAGCGGTAGTGAGAGATCTCTGGGAGCAAACTAACCCAACAGGAACCAATTGTGCAACAAATATGCACGAAGAAATTGAGGTGGAATGACTATACTGTGAGAAAAAACCATCAAGTGAGCGACATCACATGACAAGCCATTGTTCGAATGGAACCCGAATGAGAAGCGGAGAGTTGGTCGGTGGTCTGAGGGTGACATGGAGGAGGACGTGCAAAGAGGAGATGAAAGTATGTGAGCTGACGTGGAGCCAGGTGAAAATGTTGACACAGAACCGAACGCAGTAGAGACGTTCGGTTGAAGCCCTATGTTCCTCTGGGAACTATATGAAACAATAATAATAATCTTAGTGGTTACCTGGGCCATTGCTCTATAATCTCAAAGGAAGATGAGTATTTCAGAAATTACAAAGAATTTAGTGTCTACAAACTTCTCTTTTTCTTCTCACCACCAATAACTAACTGTAGAAGACATTTTTTGCATTCTACCAATATTCATACCAATTAACGAACAGTCCCTTGGAAAACAGGACATCACAGTATTGTTGCATCCCTTATCATTCAGTTTAAAAAAATCTCTGCTGTATTCTTTATTGACAGAAATGTTATTTAAATTATCTCTTTGAACAGATGATTACAATGCATTTGAGGATAATCTTCAAGATCAAAATTGTGTGCTAACAACAAATGAATCGAACAGTAATCAAGGTTGTTTAGCTGCATCGAAGAAAAAAGTATTCGAGAAAGGATTACCATACATTGCAATCCCAATTATCATTGTGGCATTACAGGTAGTAATAAATAGTATAATGACGTCAGTTTTCAGTGTCTTTCTGTCTGTTTCGTCTTTATTTTATTTAAAAAAAATGGTATTTGATTAAAACATAACAACTTAGAAATGAGATATTTATTTTTGTATTGTATATTTAAACAAATAATCCTTAATATCAGCAGCCTTTTCGGTACAGTTCAGCTAACATAACCGGCGAGTTGTGTAAATAGTTAGACGTATAAGTGGTCAAAGCTTTAGCTATATCGATAGACAAATGCTATATAACTGATCATCCGGTTAGACAATACACCTATTAGAATCACAAATAAAACTATTTCAAGATTTATTTCCGTTTATCAACCGTTGAATGGTACAAAACATTGAATATATGCCTCACCTTGGTTTGAAACTCTTCAGCGATGTGCACTGCTGGCTGAATAATGTGTCAAGCTACCACACATAAGCTCTCAGTGAAAGTGTTTCACCACTCAGGAGATCAAGTGGAACGCAGTAACGTGTGATTTATATGTCCGTCAACCTTGTTTATAACCTTGTCATCATGTTTCTGTTTATTCAGGAATATTAGTTGGTGTTTTTTATTCTTTTGCGTTCTCAGTGGAACATAGGGTTTCAGGCTAGAGGTTTGAAGTTTCGGTAGCAGTGATGTTTAATTTTACGGGATGGAGATGCTAGCCTCATGTTCAACCTTCCCTATTTACCAGTCTTATTACTGGCTTAGGATGGTGAAGGTGTGCGTCGGCCGGGGTCGTAACCCCGGGCCACAAACATGGTTAGCGAGCATTCTACCTGTGTGTCCCCGACGCACCACTGGTTTGTGTGAACACTATTTAAATCACTTATACACTTAGTGTTGTGTATGCTGTTCATTTTTTTGATGCCATTCACAGTATCAAGGGGGCTGCATTAATATGGTTCGAATGTTATCACTTACCACATTTTTTGGAAAGCCAAATTCACACAATCATAAGCTTTTTATTGCATAGTTTTTCTTTCATGTATGTGTTTTCTAAAGTTTATATTAACGTAGCTGTCAGCTGATGTATTTTTCCTGTGTCTAATCTGAAGAGTGATGAATGCAGTTGAGGTACATTACATTCTTTCAGATATTAAGTTCACAATTCGCAAATTCGTTAGCCATTCTCAGTGAATAAAGTTTAGATCACCTCGAGCTGGGTAGCAAGCACTTCCGGTTGGCACGGGTGGTATAAAGCTACTCATCCCATTTAATAATTAGTCTATAGCATTATACCTCCTCGTTATGTTCATGATAAGAATAATTTTCCCTTCACATTCCCAGTGGAACATACAGTTTCAAGCTAGTGGCTTGAAGTTTCTGTAGCAGTGGTGCTTATTTTTACAGGATGGGGTTGCTAGCCTCATGCCAAACCTTTCCCCTAACCAGCATTATTTCTGGCCTAGCGAGGTAAAGGAGTGCGTCGGTGGTCGGGAATTGAACCCCGGACCATGTGCATGGTCGGCTAGCGTCCTAACCGCTATGCCACCAACGCACAAACATATCAGACTTATTTAATCACAATTAAATTAAAGCCGCCATTCTTCCAACATGCTGGAACCAATATACGCATGATCTTTTGATCGACACTGTGAATCCATATAAGAAATGTTGACTCACAGAGAGTGGAAAGTGTATGTGTTGAAGCAAAAGTGACGATTTTTGTTTAAACCATTCTTAGTACACTTCTCCTTCAAAAAAAATGCATTAATCATAATTTTATATTATTATTATTTCAGCTCGTCTGTATTGGAGTTTCCGCCTATTTAATCACAAAAATTAAGAAATGGGATGAAGAACTTTACTACTAAGCACTAGAATTCTTCTTTAGATGGCCTTCACTCCTTCCACCTTTCTCTTTCAGTAAAGATACAAAATTCCGCATATTCCAGGATTATTGATATATAGATGAAAAAACAAACAAACAAACATTGTTTTCTCCAGAGGCAAAAGTGCTGTATTATTATTAGCTCCATTGTCTTCTCTTTTATGTTGTTCCTAATTTCGAAAGATTAAATGAATATTTAAAAAGAAACACCGGTTCAATGCACAAAAACAAAATCTGCTGTAAACCTGCCCATGTATTGCATCGTATAAAAAATTAAAACTATCCGTTTTTCTTTCGTTCATCTGATATTTTTTAGAAATTTGGTTATTTGAAATGAATCAAAATAATTTTGTGTGGATTTTGGTTTGCTTTTTTTCAAGCATAGACATGTATTCGCTTTCTACTTTTATCGTTCAGTCATACTTTAGCCTCTATTATTCACTGTGGATTGATTATCTTGTAAATGCACATACGTGTAGGCATATTTCCAGTGTTTTGTTTTATATTTTAATAATTCTATCTTTTTTTAAAAAAATTGATTTTCATGAGGCAGTATCATGTAATTTAAACAAATATTATGGTTTGAAAAAGTATTTGATGAAAATAACTGGTGATTCTCGTTTTCGGTTGTTCGACCTTTAGCCTTACTTTATTTTAAGTTGAATAGATTTATTGTTCAATGTTGCTTTGCACAGATTTACTTGATCCTAGGTTGGATCAAGAAGTGGTGTCACTAAGCGAACCCTTGTAAACCAGCGTATACTGGATAGCTATTTCGTTCTTATATATGAGTCTTCAGAAATACTCAACCATGACCTAGCAGAAGATAGAATTATGGAACTTTATGTCACGAGATGAACTTGCTAAACATTCGGTGATTGAGAAAAAATCCAGTGGCCCTCTATATATTGGAAACTGATAGAATTTACAGTTCAACGGTTCCGCTTTGTAATTTGAAAGATCTAAATTTATTTCAGTCCTGCTCATATGATACAAAGATTTACTCAAACTTTCATGTTATCACATTTTCTGTAGGTAACTCTTTGAATTAAATAGGAAGAACTTTTAGAGGATTGAACTGATGTAAAGAATGATTTTATCGCAGAATACTGCCTCTTTAGGGACTGTGGGTAAACAAAGAGCTTATAATTGTTGTAGACGCAATCAGGAATACGCATATGTGACTTCCATAAGTAATATAACTCAGAACTACTAGAAGTGAGAGCAAGCATCTCATCACTCAACAATGGGGTCGGAATTCATGGGTTGACAGATAATTAAAATATGGCTAATATACTAGTGGGGAGGGAGAAATGGAAGAAATGACCCATGTTTGCAGATCGATGGTAAAAAATAATATGCACAGGGAACGACTAAGCACATATTCCACATAACTGCAAACTTTCGGTATATTTATCAAAAAAAAGTACATCTCAAGTCTTTGTAATCACTTTAGACATGCCTATAGATAACAACAACGAGTTGGGCGTCTGACGGTCACACGGAGAAGGCCGCATAAAGAGGAGATGGAAGCTCGTAAGCAGTCCTGCAACTTTCTTGAAAAGACTATGCCAGATATATTCCACTCGGAACACAAGGGAAATAATTATCGTAGATGACAGATTATGTTCGTTAGGTTATGTAGTGATCTATACTGATTGACAAATGAAATCTTCTGAAGGTATATGTCACAGTCATGCTTTGGAATACAGACCTCAAAACACCAAATATTGTATTTGTTCATTGACAAAATGTTCACAAAATATTTCAGTGTAAACATGGTTTTATTGCCTAGAAATGCAGACGACTGACTAAAATGCTACTGGGATTGAAAACTTTCTCGTGAATGGATTTTTATTGGAATGTACATAATACACAATACGTATGGAAATCTAAATTCCTTTGTGTACTGATGTCAAAATACTTTATACAACTGGGTGTAGTACGATAAACGCTTGCATGTCATATTCACACACAACTAACAGTAAAACAAATTTTAAAAAAGTGAGACCTATTATGGTAGACGGTAAGAAAAACCATTAAGCAAAATTATGAGTATGAAGCTATTCAAATCCAAGTGTCCACCATTGTGGTCTTGTGTTAGTAATAATAATAATGCTAATAGTTATAATAAGGATTCTATGATTACTGTATCAAATTTAATTCAGAATTTATGATAAAGTTCAGCATGTTTTTGTTGAGTTCAATCAATGTTTCAAAGTTGAATAATCTAAAATTCATACTGATATTTTCAATTTGTTTTTATGAATAAAAAAAAGTAACAAACTTTGAACTTATCTATTCATTCATTCATTCATTCATTCATTCAGCCAGTCAGTCAGTCAGTTAAACAACCACTCACGCATGTATTGATCGGCAGTCATCTTGTGTAGAGTAGAGTAATACTTATCTGGTTAAAGTTGAAATGCATATTGAGACTTTTCTATCAGGCAGTTTCGTTTTAGTCTACTGTCAATTAGACAAACTTATTAAGCTATTATACACAGAACAAGAAATTGTCTACCGAGTAATGAATTTATTATCTTAAGGTTAATCATTGAATATCTCAAACAGACGTACCACAAATGAAATTCTCATCACTAAAAATTTATCTCACTCAAATTGAATACGAAACTATTAGGTTATAGAATTTTACCTTTGATATAAATAATTTTATGGCATTTTTATAGTTTCCTCTAGTTCTCAGAGGAACATAGGGCTTCAGCCGAACGTCTCCATTGCATTCGGTTTTCTGTCAACGTTTTCACCTGGCTCCACGTCTGCCCACATGCTTTCATCTCCTGCTCACATGACCTCCCCAATTTCACTCTCTCACTGACGATCAACTCACCGCTTTCCGTTCGGGTTCCACTCGAGCGATGACCTGTTGTGTGATTTCACTTGATGGTTTTCTCAGAGAATGGCCAATGTATCCCCATTTCTTCGTGCATACTTGTTGCACAATTGGTTCCTGTTAGGTTGGTTCGCTCCCAGAGATCTCTTAATGTTCTACTCTGGCTATCTGATCTTGAGGATTGAACGAGGACGGCTGTTGATGAAAGTATGTAGTTTTTAAGGTGCTCTTTATGACGCGCCAAGTTTCTGATCCATATAGTAGCACTGAATTCACAGTGGAATTGGAAATTCGTATCTTTTTATCATGCTGAGTGCTGCTGACCTCCAGGCAGACTCGCTCTATCAATCCTTGCTTTGTTATTCTCGGCAGTTCCGCTTGTATTTGAAAAAATGCTTCCTAGTTAGGTAGGCAAAGGAAGTTGCTTCATTCAGATCTCTCCTATTCATGGTGGCTGATTGTTGTCTGTTGTTGTCGCTTTTGTTGTTGGCCAGGGAATCTTCATCAAAACACCTGTTTTCTCTGTTTTCACCTGAAGTTCTGTCTTCTCTGGATGCTCTTCTGCCAACTTGTTGCTTTCCAGCTACATATCTTCCAGCTTGTGGGAAATCAGACAAATATCATCGGCGAAATCCAGATCCTCTAGGTTTTTTATGTGGGTCCGTTTTATGCCTGTTTCCTCGCTGCCCGCTGTCTGTCACATTATCCAGTCTACCGCAATTAGGAAAATCAATGGATATAGTAGGCAGCTAGCTTGTCCCATTCCTGTCTTCACCTCAAGGGATTCCGTGAGTTTCCTGTTGTAGATTACTTGGTATGCAGCATTGTCATACAACTGTTGAAAGAAGCGTATATTTATTGGCGGCACCCCGTAGTAGCGAAGTAGTTGCTAAATCATATGTATATGTATATTCGGACGCGCTTTTCGAATTTCATGATATTTTTATCTCAAATACTGTTAGAGAAAGCATGCTCAGTTCGAAGTGATAAATCTCAAATCACCATGTGTTTAAAATTCCAACAATAATAGTAAAGGTTTATTTCAGACAGTATGTAAGCAAAGTGCAGACATTGTCAGTGTATTTAGTTCCATAATATTTCATCTTCGTAGAGGATTTACGTATAAAATAATAATCTGAAGTATATCATATGACGTAGTGTAGTTTTATTTGAAGAGAGATCTAATTCTGCATAGGTATTCTTCATTTCCTCCAACAGTTACACAACGTTCTTGTTGAAAGCTAGTTAAACATCTTCATGAATTCATGTAGTGATCATCTGATATGATTCCGTCATTTAAACGATAAGAAAAGCAGAAGTGTTTGAAGATTTTAAAGAATAGAAATTCTGTTAGCCCAGTAACTTAAACAGGCCGCGGACAGCAAATAAAACAGGACGTACCCTGAAGAGATCACTGTGTGACATCACCTGCAGGGCCCACGAATGGATTCTGATCAGAAAATAGCAAGTTGAGCGTCCGAGAGAGACATTCAGGAGATTATATCAAGTGAAAACGAAAGCTTATGGGACGTCATCAAACTAGAGGAGAGTTGCAGTAGAGAACAAAGTAAAGCGGTGAAACCTTATTATGCAATCGGAACGCAAGGAAGGAATAATATCAATAAATGGCAGCATAAAACTTTTTAATACTAAACATATTTTCTTATCGTTACTTTATTCATTGAAAATTTGTTTTAAAACAGAAATATTAAACCGGTCACTACTGAAACTGCTGATTAGGCAGAACTTCGTCATGGCAACTAAATCTTTACTTAAATACTATTGTGTAAACTTTCAAACACACATTAGTTAATCTGGTTAATTCATATTTTAACACTCATATGAAACCACACAAATATGTATAATTATGTATGAAATATTTTCTAGGTTTCACAGAAAACCCTTTTGTTTTTTTCACATACAAATGACTCCTTGGAGAAAGTTGCAGATAAGTTAGTGCGTTTTCAAATTCTTGTTCTCGTGTGGGTAAAGAGAATAGTTAGACAGAGAAAGACCTGCCATAAAGCCTAAGATCTACTTTTATATTTATGTGAATAAGAATTATCACTCTTCTGAATAGGTCTCAACTGCATTAAAGCATAACTCCATTATGGATAAGATTTTATTTT